AAAGTGAAAGAATGTTTCTTTTACTTTTCCAAGAGGGTAGTGTACTAGGAGGGAGGGTTGGGAGGGGAGAAAAGTGCAACAATAAATGAATGGAAATTCAAAGTCTCTGTAAATTTTCATTGAAATTAATAATTTTTTTTAAAAAAAGGAAAAGTAGAAAACATACTGAGAAGAAAGTTATAACATTCTATCTCTGAAACATCACCATAGATATACACAACTTTATATATTCGACCTAATTCCTACAACTGCATATTCTAAGTTCTCAACTACAGAAAGAGCAAAAAGGGCCAATGGGCAAGGTAATAACAGCAAATATCATTAACTGAACTGCTGCTACTGTTGTTATGTACTGTTGAGTTGGATCTCATTCATAGCTGACCCTCCAGTAGGTTTTCAGAGGCAGTAAATTGCATGGAGGGAGACTATCCATCTTTCTCCTGCAGAGCAGCTGGTGGATTCGAACTGCATACCTTTGAGTTGGTGGTGTAATTTCTTACTACTAAGCCACCAGAGTTTACTGAACTACGTATTTTATATTTAGTTAAACCTACAAACAGCTAAATGGGCTAGGTTTGAGTGGCTCCCTTTTATTGATGAGACTGCTGCTTAGACAGGAGATATCAAAAGAGGAGCCCCTTCGCTGTCAGAGCTGAGACTCATGTCCAAGTTGGTCCAATTCCAAAGTTCCATTTTAAATTAGGTGACAGACTAAATCACACACCCTGAAACAAATGCTGTCTAACAGTTGTTAAAGGGCTAGGGGAAGAGGAGGGAGAAACGGAAACCCATTTCAACATTCTTAAATGTGGAACTGGACTGCCAAATGAACAAAGAAATTGTTTGGGAAAAGTACAGCCAGAATGCTCCTTGAAGAAGATGTGACACTTCATCTCATATACTTGGGCATAATGTCAGGAGGGGACAGTGTATAGAAAAGGACATCATGCTTGGAAAAGCAGAGGGTCGGTAAAGAAGACTCCATGGGATGAACTGACTGACTGCAACCTTGAGTTCAGTTGCTACAGAGTGTAAGGATGGTGGTGCCAGACTGGGGAGGGTTTTGATATGTTATACTAGGCTTGCTGTGAGTTGGAGCTGATTCAATGGCACCCAACAACAAATGTTGAAAATATAAATATTAGATATAAATCATAACATTTTGAAGGTCAATTATTATACAAAGCTTTGAAGACTTTTAAAAGAATCGCATGTATAACATTTCAGGATCAAAAAGATAATAGAAAACAAAGGAAAGAAATATCTTAATGCTTGGATTACCTAAACATTTATTAGCAACATCAAAAAGCCTACTGTTGCTGACTCGTAGTGACTGGAGGTCAGAGAAGACCTGCCCCCTACATTGTAAATCTTTATAGGAAAAAATTGCCTTATCTTTCTCCTGAGGGGCAGCTGGTGAATTTGAAGTATGGACTTTCCAGTCAGCAGTTCAACGCTTAATCTATCTTGTTACTAGGACTCCTTTATTAGCTACAGTTCAGTAAATTTCTTACCATTTTATGCTCTTTACATCTTTACAGATGATCTTTCTTGCTATACATATCAAAATCAAATTCATTGCCATTAAATTTCCGGCAACCACACGGATTAAAGAATAGAACTACTGAATAGGTACAAAGACTATACAAAGACTAAACGATTTGTGGAAAACAAGTTGACCATATTCTTTAGCTCTGGTTTGAATTTAATTGAATTGGGTAAGTAAGGGGGAGAAAAAGTGAAAAAGAGACAAAAAATGCTTATAAAATGTAGACTAAATAAAAACATCATACTTACTGGGTTAGCTCAATTGTAGCTTTTCTGGAGAACATCCAGGCTATTTTTTCATTTCCATCTTTGGGGATGTCATTTTTATCCTCATAGCCCAAGAAATAGAGTGAAAACTTCATTGTAGGGAAATCTAACTTTTGGAGCAGCCTAAAGTTGAAAGACAAAAGGCCCAAATCATGAATAGGAAGAAAGGTTGAGTCATACTAAAATAGATAAAACCTAATAAATTCTACTGAGAAGAAGACACATAGGAAATAAGGCTATCCTAAGTACTCAAGAGCAACGGTGTCTCTCTGGAGACTAAGGTGTGCCTGATACAGGCCATGGTCTTTGCAATCACTTGTTATGCATCAGAGAGTTGGACAATGACTAGGGAGGATAGAAGGAGAATTGACGCCTTTGAGCTGTGGTGCTGGAGAAGAGTACTGAATGTTCCATGGACTGCCAAGAAAATAAACAGATTCATCCTAGAGAGGGTTAAACCAGGCTGCTCCTTGGAGGCAAGGATTCTGGGGCTTCGTCTGACATACTTTGGAAATGTTGTAAGGAGAGACAGGTCCTTGGAGAGGGACATCATGCTTGGTAGGGTAGAGGGACAGCACAAGAGGGGAAGACCCTCTATGAGGTGGATTGATTCAATGACTGGGGTAATTGAGATGGGTGTGTCAGAGGCAATGCAATTGGCACAGGATAGAGCAGGGTTTAGGGCTGTTGTACATAGGGTCGCTATGAGTCGCAAACGACCCGACGGCACGTAACAACAACAACAACAATGGCAAAACTAGGTATAGTGGCATAGTGAGTGGGTGCCAACTCAAAGATGTGTGGTTCCAATCCACCAGCTCCTCTGTGGAAGAAAGATGAACAATTTCCTGTATGATTTACAGCCTCTGAAAACTCACTGGAGGGTCGGCTATAAGTTGGTTCTGACTAGATGACAATGATTTTGTTTCCTGAGTAGGAAAAAACCCCACAACAGACAAAACAACTCATTGCCAGTGAGCCAGAACCATAGTTGACCCTCTAGAGTGTTTTTAAGGCTGTACACAGCACAGGAGGAGATTATCCATCTTTCTCCTACACAGCTACTACTGGATTGGAACCAGTAGAGACACACAGCCTTTGAGCTGGCAGCACATCTCACCAGGCAGAAAAATTAGGGGGGGGACACCCCTCTTTTTTTAAACCAACCCCGTATTTATTAGTGAAATGTATTTATTAATGAGTGCACACTTTTATAATTCAAATTCTTCAAACAGAATTTAGCGGGAATTATGATAGTTTTCTTAAATATAAGAATTCATCCTCAAGAAAGAATTTTGGTTTTTTAAGTGAAAAATATATTACTCTTATTGTACTCTTATTTCAGATATATGCTATTCAATGAAGTAATTCATTAAGCTCTTCCTATGTTGAGACTTCTCTAAGATGTTTACAGGATAAGTTTGTTTTCAGAAACTTCAACAATTAAGATTTGTGTATATTTCTGTACATATAGACATTAAAATGTTTGCAGCTGAGCACTTAAATCACCATGCCACAAAGGCTCCTTTAAAACTATAATGAGGAAAAAGAAAAACAAAACCAAATCAAACTTACAGGGAAAAGAAACTGAGGTTAGGAGTAAAAGAGAAGGAAGAAGAAAGATTATGACCACAGAACACATGTGACTGCCAAAAGTAAGTAGTTAAAAATGTCAAATGTTGTTAGTGGGGTGAGATGATATCTTTAACTTGTCTTTATTTGCATCTTTCTGATAACTAGGGATTCTGACCATTTCTTCATTTGTTTGTATGCCATCTGAATGTCGTCTTTGGTGAAGTGTCTATTCTTATCCTGAGCCCATTTTGTTGATTGGGTTTTCTTTTTTCCTGTTGAGGTGCTAGAGTATTCTAAAATTGGGAGGGAGGAAATTATGCAACAATGAAGTAATGCTTTTTATTATTTTTTTTTAAAGTGAACTGGGGGGTTGGGAGGAAAATGTGCAACAATAAATGAATGAAAATCAAACTTTTCTGTAAATTTTTGTTAAAATCACAATAAAGAAACAAAAAAGTGTCAAATGTTATAGAAAGATCAAACAAAATTAAGACTGAGAAGGTCACGAGACACAAAAGGTCCTGGGAGAGCAATTTCGGCAGCAGGGGTGTCAGAAGTTGACCTGTGCTAGATTGGAGAAAGCATGGGAGCTGAGGAGGGAAAACAGTAAGTGTGGTCAAGGTATGTCAACAGTGATGACGGCAACAACAACAAAGCAAGAACAGTGAGAGAGCAGGAGGGCTGGAATCACTCTAGAGAAGAGAAGACTTAAGTGTGTTTGTAGGCTGAGGAGAAAGCAAGTGGAACAAGAAAGATTGAGAAAGAGTCAATGGATTCCCTATTTAAAGGGCTTTTGTGTGTGTGTTTAGTTTTTTAATGAACAGAGGGTATGTTGCCAAATGTTATGTGGTGTTATTGCCTTTGAGTTGAGCATGACTCATAGTGACCCTATGAACAAAAGGCCTAAAGCCCCTCTACAATTATCGACATTGATCAAATTCATAGAGTTCCTGGAGGCCTGTAATTTTGGAAGTGGATGCCACCCCCGCATTTGATAAAAGTAGGACAATTAGAGGATACGGCTTCTAGTCTTAAATCTGACATTTACTACTGGAAAGGTCTTCATCTATAAAAATATAGATTTGAATCTCTAAGGGTTCTTTTTTTTTAATTATTTTTTTATATTTTAATGAAAGTTTAAAGAAAACTTGAATTTCCATTCATTCATTGTTGCCAAATCTTAAAAGTTTTTAAAAAGATCAACAAAATTCTACGCTTTAGGGTAGACGTATGTTATAAGGAAGATGCTCTGCCACATGCTAACTGTGGGATGTGGTTCCAGTAACTAAAGTTCTTTAACTTCAGATTCTCTCTTCATTGCTAAAATGAGGATATACACTAAGCTCCTAAGCCTACTGTGACAACTGAATGAAATTAGCACATAATGTTGTTGTTGTTGTTGTTATGTGCCGTCGAGTCGCCTGCGACTCATAGCGACCCTATGTACAACAGCCCTAAACTCCGCTCTGTCCTGCGCCAATCGCACTGTCTCTGATACTCCCATCCCAATTATCCCAATCACTGAATCAATCCACCTCATAGAGGGCCTTCCTCTCCTGCGCCGTCCCTCTACCCTCCCAAGCATGATGTCTCTCTCCAAGGACCGGTCTCTCCTCACTACATGTCCGAAGTAAGTTAGACGGAGCCTCAGTACCCAGCAAATAATAGTAAATTTTCAGTAATATTTTTTTAAAAAATTGTCCTATAAATATATGCATTAAATGTCTTCTGGAAAGAATGACAAGAAACTACTATCGGTTTCTTGAAAGAAAGACTGGGGAAGGGAGAAGAACACTTCTTTGTAGTTTTTAAACTGGCCAAATTTTCTAGACATAGACATATCCTATTTTGCTTGAATTATTCTTGCAATGTCAACAGCAGTAAATAAAAGAGAATTTTTTAAAAATTCTTTATATACCTGAGCCACTAAAAACAAACAGAAAGCTTAATGTAAAGGAAATGTGAACCATCTGGCAGGAACCCGAAAAGACAGGTTAATGGTCACCATAGTTCAGTGGTGATAACTTTATAAAACACAATGAGGGGAGCTCTGGTGGCCTAGTGGCAAGAAGCTGCACTGCACTCCTGGAAATTTGTGGTTCGAATCCACCAGATGATCTGCCGGAAAAGGAGGGGCCATCTCCTCCTGTACCAGTCAGATCCAATTTGATGGTACACACACAGAGAAAATAATAAAATAAAAATTAAAAAAAAAAAACACAAAGAAAAAAACCAACACAATGTATGGGAATGACTGTTTAAAACACAAAGACAATAAAAGAAAGTGTGAAACACAATGTATATGAATTTTATATGAAAACCAATATAAAATAAAAAGTCTTAATGTTATTTAGGGAAATAAAGATGCCTTAAAGATTATAATATTTAGCTACTGAGCAAAAGAGAAAATACCTTATAAAAATAGATCACCAGCTTTAAGTAAATTCATTCATTTTCTGAGTAATACATTCTTAAATCTATGTTGTTCTGAAAGAGTCAGAACATCTAAAAGGGTCTGAACACTTTAATGATTTGGCTGGCAGCTCTTGTAGAGTAGAAAGTTCAAGAAAATGCAAGTGTTTGTGTTTTTTGTTGTTCAGGGGTATGAAAAAAAAAAATAATTTCTCAGAAGCCCTGGTCAGTCAGGCATAGACCTGGGCTCCTGGCCAAGCGAACCTTTGTTACTTCAGAAATAAATCTGAATTTATGACAGAACATGTATTTAAACACGTATTCACTCACTGCTATCAACTTGTTTCCAACTCACAGCAACCCTCTACTGGGTTTCTAAAACTGTAAATATTAATGGAAGGAGACTGTCCATCTTTTTCCTAGGGAGCTGCTGGTGGATATGAATTCCTGAAGACATACAGCCTTTTGGTTAGTAGTGCGCCACATTATACTTATGTCATCAGACCTCCTTTACTTAAACATCATAAAGGCATTAATAAATTTTCATAAATTTAATACATTTTACTTACGTCATCCCAAGAATTCTAGTATAAAAATCCAAAGATTTCTTCGGATCTTTAATTCGTAGCATGGTCTGCTGCATTAGAAAATCCTAAGGAGAAACAGTATCAAATAATTGTAATTAAAAAAAAATAATGTTATTTGGGTCAAAATTCTACAGGGCACATTAATTCTCATTCAACAATTTTGTACTGTGATAGTAGATGCAAGCTCTTCAATGTAACAGCATACTTTCTCCCCAGATTCCCTATTTACATTTCATCCCTTTCATGCCCCCTCTTGCCTGAAAAGCTTTGCTCTGGGACATATGCAGCTCTAGCTTCCTTCCTGGTGTGGTAAGGTGGCTATTTCTGAGCTATCACCTGTGCACCATGGAGGCTTGTAGGAGTGCATTTCAGCTCCTGGTTGTAAATACCCAAGGGTTTAACCAAGACAACTTTAACTTTCTACAATTTGTTAAAATATTAGTTGTGCTTTCTGAACAAGAAACAGGCAGTCTATCATTATACTTTTTTAAAATTTAATTTTTTTTGTGTATGTGTACTGTCAAATCGGATCTGACTGGTACAGGAAAAGATTGTCCCTCCTTCTCCAGCAGAGCACCTGGTGCATTATACTTTTTTTTAAAAAAAAACAAAAGCAATTCATCCCTTTGCCTCTCACAGAAATCACCAGGAAATAGTTCCCATACTTACCACCTATACCTTCCTCTTTTCCTCTGTACAAGGATGTTTTCTGGCCATAGGAGTAGGCCCCTATGTGGAGCAAGTCAGAGTGCCAAGCAATTTACACCCCAGGAATGCCCAATCAATGATTGATAATAAAGTAACAAGCGTAACTTCTTTGCTCCTTAGTGGGACAATTCTGGCATGTTCCATATAGTCTCTCAAATATTCCTCCATAGGATTGAGCCCCAGTGGCCCGCATGAATAAATGACTGTCAGCATGTTTTTTAATGACCTCCTTTCCCCCTTCCACAGAACTTTCTCTCATTATCTCCCAAATACATTACTTAGAACTAAACCTGTATCTTGAGCCTGCTTTGGGCAATCCGAACTCAGACCCTGATGTTACAGAGTTCAATGACTATACTATTTGTTAAATTAATGCATAAACATCCTTCCAGCACCATCAATGGCAACAATGTAAATTAACTATGTACAAGAACATGGATCCCTAAATATCTAAGGGCAAATAATTACGCTCTCTCTTTACCATTGTGAAAAATGTTAAGATTCACAAATTAGCATACAGAGGACTTAATCTGAATGAATAAATGGTAGAGAGTATATTAGTCTATGGACTTAAAATTATTAGAATTATTACTTTGCATAGTAATTTAGCATTGAAGAAGAGCATGGGTTAGGGTTATTAGCAGCATTGACATTTGCCAAGGGGTTTGACTTCATAAGCTATAATAGCTCCGATAGATATTTTGTTGTTCAGTACCACAGGGTCAGTACTGACACATAGTTGACCCTCCAGAAGGTATTCAGAGACAGTAAATCACATGGGAGGAGACTGTCCATCCTTTTCCCGCCAAACAGTGGTGGATTCGAACCACATGCCTTTGGTATTACAATGCAGTTTCTTACCATTAGGCCACCAAGGCTCCCTCTGACACATATTAATGTGCTCATCTGATAGATGAGAAACTGACATGCTGAGTGATTAATCATCCAAGCCTTTGCTTCCAAGTTCAGATCTCTACCTTCCAGATTATACTTCTTGTTATTGTTGTTGTGTACCATCAAGTCATAACTGACTCATAGGTGATACTCCAATGGGTTTTCAGAGGCAGAAAATCACTCAAGAGAAGACTGACCATCTAGATTCCCTAACATAGCTTATGGTTTCGAACCACGTACCTGTGAATTGGCAGCACAACTTCTTACTACTAAGCCACCAGAGCTTCTAGACTATACCGCTTGTTATGTGCTGTCAAGTAGCCTATGACTCATAGTGACCTTGTGTACAACAGCCCTAAACCATGCTCTATCCTGTGCCATTCTTATTGTCTCTGACACAGCTACCCCGCTATCCCAGTCTATAAAGCAATCCATCTCATTGAGGGTCTTCCTCTCCTGCATTGTCTCTCCACCCTCCCAAGCATGATGTTCCTCTCCAAGGACTGGTCTCGCCTTGTAACATGTCCAAATTATGTCAGATGAAGCTTCAGAATCCTTGCCTCCTGGTCTCACCCACTCTAGGATGAACCTGTTTGTTCTACTTGCAGTCATTGGTATATTCAACACTCTTCTCCAGCACCACAGCTCAAAGGCATCAGTTCTCCTTTTATTATCCCTAGTCACTGTCCAGCTTTCTGATGCATAGCAAGTAATTGCAAAGACTATGGCCTGAATCAGGTGCACCTTAAGTCTCCAGACTAACATCGTTGCTCTTCAGTACTTTGAAGAGGTCTCTGATAGCAGACTTTCCCAAAGCAATTTGTCTTTTACTCTCCTGGCTGCTGGTACCAAGAGTGTAGTAGTTTGTAAACCATGCTCTGTTGCTTCACCATCATGTTGGAACCAACTCATTCCTTACTCTCCAGTGGATTTTCACAGGCTGTAGGTCGCACATGAACTTGGCCATCTTTATCTTGCCACAGCAGTGGTGCAAGTCTCTATGAACCACATCGCCAGAGCTCCTTGTAAACCACATTGTTGTTAGTGTTGTGCACCTTCAAGTTGGAACCAACCCTTAGGTGACCTTCCAGCAGGCTATCACAGGGAATAAACTGCACAGGAGGAGATTGTTCATCTTTTTCCACAAAGTCGCTGGTGGATCAGAACCACATGCCTTTGGGTTGGCAGTTCAATTCTCTGCCACAAAGCCGCCAGAACTCTTTGTAAATCATGTTAGATGTTCAAAAAATATTTTTATTCTCCTATAACTACAGTTTTGGCAAAAAGGTCTGAAGACTCTGACTTCTTATGCAGCCACAGTGCCACTTAGCCTTGTAACTCACATTTTATTTTTTATGCACTTGGCAGGTTGAAGAAATGAAACTTTGCTATTTTGTTAACTTTTTAAGAAACCAGAATTTATTTCCTAAAGCATTAAAATACATTTAAAACAAAACAAGATTAAAACAACTTAATCTTTCTCAGAAGATCTCAGTGTATGTAAGTTTCTTGATTCCCAGAACATAATCTCATACAGAGCCGTTGGCCTTAAAATGACAAGTTTCTAGAAGGTGAGGAGCTGCTTCTCTCCGCCAGCTGCAGCTCTCCAGAATGTCTGGGGTTTAGCACACAGCAGAGAGGGAGAAAAACAGCTCCTAACATCCAGACAATGGCCTGGTACTCAGTTAATCCTTGGTTTTTCTCCTGTTGCACTTACTCAGAAAAACACCAGTAAAATGACCCTGTGACTGTAATGAGGTGAGATAGAAAAAGAAAAAAAATTGTAAGATCACTTCATATTTTTGCCTAAACAAACACAGCAAACATCCCCCTCTCCTGGTTAATGTGCCTTGAGTGACTGCTGCTTCTCTACTAACTAAAACTATAACTTTAGGAGGCTGGATTCAAGAAAAACTTTGTATATAAATCTTTCAGGTCTGACAGTGGGCAATTAAGGCTGTATATGGCAGGCCTCATGGGAAAAAGCTGCCTCCTTCACACTAGACCTGGGCAATCAGTGCACTGCAGTCTCTGGAGAAGAAGTTAGAGTCACGACCCATACACAGGGTAAACACTGAGGGAGCTGGCACCCTTTCCTTTCAGGCCTTTTGTTTACAGTTATTTTATATTTGTTTTATTCACTTTATTTCGTATTTGTAAGTGAATAGAGGCCTGACTGACTCAGTGACTCAGGTAATGGGATTAGGTGTGTCAGAGATGATGAGTTTGGCTCAGGACAGGGCAGGGCACAGGGTCGCTCTGAGTCACAGGTGATTTGATGGCACATAACAAAAAGAGACCTGATTGTTACTTTCAGCTTGACTAACATGGTCTAGTTTTCCCTTTTTCTTGATAATATTCATTTTGCTTCCTGATCATAGAATAGGTAGTTAGGATGACAGGAGAAGAACTGATGCCTTTGAGTTGTAGTACTGCAGAAGAATACTAAATATCCCATGGACTAAAGAAAGAACAAACAGATATACTTTGTCTTGGAGAAAGTGTAACCAGAATTATTGTAGTTAACTTGATGGCACCTAACAATAATAATCATAGAATGAGTCCTGCATCCAATCTGAAATAAATCCTGCTTCCTAATCAAACTAATGAATCAAGTCTGACTCTCAGTGACCCCTTAGGACAGAGAAGAACAGATACATTTCTCAAGGAGTGGCTAATGAGTTCCAATCACCAAACTTTCAGTTAGCATAGCAGCTGAGTGCTTAAGAACACTTCTGTGTCCTTGTTGTGTAGTTGTGTACCATGGAGTCAGAGCCAATTCATAGCTGACTCTCCAGCGGGTTTTCAGAGGCAGTTAATTGCATAGGAGGAGACTGCCCATCTTTCTCCCACGGAGCAGCTGGTGACTTCAAACTGTCTGTTTGCCTTCAGGATTGCAGCATAACTTCTTGCCACTAGACCATCAGAGCTCACCTAAACCCTGATAAAAACTAGTTAACCTCTTTCCTGGAACATGCATGGCGCTGAAAGTGAAGAAGCCGCTGACCCTCCCACAAGTGAAGTCAAAGCAAATATGTTAAAGGCCAAGAAAGCGGTCCTGAAGGACAACCACAGTCACAAAAAAAGAGATGATCCACATATCATCGACCTTCTGGTGGCCTAAGATGCTAAGACTCAGGAGGCAGCCCAAATACCCCTGGAAAAGCAGCCCAGGAGGAAAAAATTTGATCACTATGCCATCATCAAGTTTTCCCTGATCACTGAATCAGCCATGAAGAAGGCAGAAGATAACAACACGCTTGTGTTCACTGTGGATGTCAAGGCCAATAAGCACCAAATGAAACAAGCTGTAAAGAAGTTCTAGGACAGACATTGATGGTCAACACAGTTATATTATTAGGTCTGATGGGGACATTAACTATGTTCAACTTGCTCCTGACTATGATGCTTTGGATGTTGCCAACAAAATTGGGGTCTAAACTGAGTCTAGCTGGCTAATTCG